TGATTTTGGTCTGTTGTTGTCTTCTGATTTCTCTCCTAAGAGTGCTGTGAACTGCTTTGGTTTAACAGGAGATGGAAAACCATTCATCTTGGTAATTTTCCCTGACAATCCTGCTGAGCACAGTCCAGGTTTTTTTGTTCTTCTTGGGTTTGGGTTTTTTTTAATAGGTGCCCATAACAAAGAAATGTTCCAGTGACGAGCAGGGGCTCAGCATGGTTTGATTTGTACTATTCATCAGGGGAAGCAGAGCCACCTTTATCTTGTATACAGCCAACAAGTGCTGTCAGACCTCAGATAAAATGTCTGAATTGAAGTTGATTGCCAGCAATAATTTTCTGCGAGAGAAAATTATTTTCTTTCCTTGAACGTACTTTTTGTCCTCGTGCTTTCAAAGGCTAGCAGGCAAACTAATTTGTTTTGTACTGGTGATGTCTACATTGTATAGTTTGTTCGTGCTGGGTTGAGAACCTGATGCTATTTCAAAGAGATAATATGGATGTGTCTTAATAGAAAGAGAAACATAAGAGTAAGCGCTTATCTGTGTGGCCAGAGGTCAAGATAACCTAACCTCAACAAACAATATCTGAAAATCTGTGCCTTTTGCATCGGTGGCATAACTGTATCCTTCTGTAAGCAGAATATATGATACATCAGATGAATGTTAATCCCTGTAACTTCAGATTTACAATGATGACAAACCCCTTTAAACTGGACTCCGGTAGTTTGTCACATTTAACAATGCCTATAAATAGTGAATGTTGCCTCATGAGGTGTTTATTGTACATGCTAAACAAGGAGCAGTTATTATGAAAAATACAGTATGTAGCTATATAATTAACGCTTTTAATAAAATGAGTATGCAGAAAAGGAAGAAACTAAAACTGCAACTGTAAAAGTGCTTCTTCTGAGCTTTTAAGTGTTTAGTTTGTACTTTTCTTTTTACGTCTTTGTCCAAGTTTTCTATCAGGGAGATGGGAATTAAAAAAAATTTCTGAAAAATACCCCAGCATGCCTTTCCGCTAATGTGCGTTGATATTATAGGGAGAAGGAGATAGGAGGAGGAATGAGACTTGAATTTTATTGAGATAAAAGTTAGTAAAATTCTTTAACAATATGAAAAGCAAGGACTACTGGCATCATGGTTAATGTTTAGTAAGAATGCTAAGGTAGTCATATCCCTCTGTATTTTTCTTCCCTCTCTGCCCATTCTCCGGAGAGGAGATGTGCTCAGTCCATCATGGTAGGGATGGCTGCTTTTGTAACAACAAGGGTGCATCTCTTCAGACATTTGGTTATTATTTTGGCCAGCTGTTGGACTTTGATTCAGGAGAACAAGTGACAGAAGTGAAGGGATTATTTTCAAAAGTTAGGAATAGAAAGGAATATATACCCCTCTAGCCAGTGAACAAGGGTGAGGTTTTTTCCCCCCTTGCAGGTTCCAAAGGCACACAGGCAAAGCAACTATAATGCTACAGCTTCTATGTGCTTTTCTATCAGAGGGAGATCTTTAGGTAACCTAAATATAGGGTTACTGTCACTGTTCATATAGTGAATTCAGCTTCTATTAAGCCTGGTCTCACATATTGAAAATAATATCAGAACCCAACAAAATATGTGAATGTTACATCAGCATGAGAGGAAAGCTAAAAAAAAAAGTGCCCAGGGACTGACTGACAGATCTATTTAGGAAGGAGGCGGAAAGGTTTTTATTTTCAGTGTGGAAGCTCTGTGAAGAATATGTTAAATCTGACAGGTTGTACGTTGAGTGTTCTCACTTTTTTGGAGGACACTGATAGATACTGTACTCATGTGTGGTACCATTTCTTGAGTGTGGGTACCAGCACAGTAAGAATCCACAGCAAGGGAAGAGACAAGAGGGTGCCTGCACATGTGGCAACCACTGAGCAATTTTCTGCACCTGAATTTAGGGATGCACTGAAACTACTGGTGCATATGAGTTAAAAGATGTAGTAAATTAAGAATTAGATACTACAGTAACTTGGCTTAATGATATGATTACATGTGAACGCTCCAGCTAACAGTTTGTGCTATAAGCTTTCCAAGATACTCAAATACATTAAAATACCTGTCTAGTTTGAATATAATGGGACTCTTTCTCTAAATCTAAAAGGCCACATCTACTTAAAATCATTATTCTTTATAATTTTAAGAGGCTATTAAAAACCTGTTTACAGGTACTTAATTGTTCCTTAAACTTTTCTTGGTTTTTAAACTTGACTTTCAGACTGTTTCCATTGAAGTACTTCATGACAAGTAAAATGTTTGAAGTAAAAGCTCTGTAAAATGCTAGTTAAACTTATTTGCTGTTGTTTGGAAAATAAGAAGCATCATCTTGAATCCTTATCTAAGAGTTAGAGGTCAGAACTTCTGTCTTGACTCAACAAGCATTTGTAACCTAAAAATCTCATTGACTGATCCGATTTTGTATAGTCCCTTTCTAGCAAACTTGCAGAACATGTACCTGATCAGACTCTTCATTTTGAAACATTTCATTCAGAATCCTGATATAATCAGGCTCTACTGTACTTCATATATTTGTACTGGTATACTTCATATTCTGCTATAGAAAAATGTCACTGTTAATCAGTATGCAAAGCTATATTTGACAGTGACGTGTTTTGCTAAGTAACATAAACACTCAAATTGTAAGTAAGAAGTTGTCATCTACCTCTGACAGGCTCCTACTTATTATGCGCTTGATAATTGTAAACTTCAACGCTTGCTCTTGTTTCTAAAAACATTAAGTGCAGATTAAATCATGACTGTTTTTCTTGCATTCTGGTAACTCTGGGGTTTTTGTTGCTTGTAGACTGGATAATGAGAGTGTATTGGTAAATCCTGTTAAACCTAGCTAAATCTCCAAAACAGAGTCCATCTCCTAACTAAAAATATTTTCATCAAGTTCTGGTTTTGAATTATATTCTTTTGCCCGCCTACTTTGGCACACAGTGTGGAAATTGTGACAACCATCTAATACAATGTGTGCCTTTTCAAGGTGGTAGGCTTTCAGTTCTTCACATTCCGGGTTACTGCAGGGCCTTCTCAAAACAGCTTATGTAGAAGTTACTTGTGAACTGTTAATGTATTAATAGAAGTATTCCTTATAGTAATTTATACTTGGCAAAAGGAATATAAGTGAGTAAAAATGTAAGGATTACAACTCATTTTTACCTTGGTTCTGAAATATGGATAGAGTCTGTTACCTAAACGAACCATCATCAGGCTGTAGGGGCACTGGAGGGTGGTGAAGCTAGTTAGTAAAAACTAAGTGATGGCATGACTTCCTGGGTTAAGTGCAATTCCCTGATGAAGCAGTGCACATCTGCGTGGCCATCACCTGAACAGGTGATGCTGATCTTTTATGAGAAACCAACCACATCTACTGTGTGATTGCAGTACAACATAGCTCTTTAGATGTACCCCTGGCGAGCAATAGATGTGTTGGGTGTGCTTCATCTCTTTGGTTTCTACTTGGTTTATCTTTGTTCATCTCGTATCTGCTACCCAATTCCCTTTGTACAGAGCCAGCAATCTTGTTCTGTACTTCTTCAGCGTCTGGTACAATAAGGTACTGCTCTGTGCTGAGCTACAACATCATTTTCAAATAAAGAACAAAAAGTAATCAACTGCGAGACTTACGAGAGCAACATTTGTTCTCGCTGCCCATACACCCTGCCCTTTGCAAATCGTATCTTGCAAGGCAGAATCTGGGTTGTCTCATTCAAAGTAACATCCCAGTTCTTTTCTGTTGCATTATAGAACTGTGGGCTCCTGTGTCAAACAGCTGGAAAAGTTTGATTGCTTCTGCACCAGTGTGTATTGCTGCATGGTAGATAGCAACAGAAACATGTGATATGATGTCATATCTTCTCCTTATTTTGGAATTATGCAAAGGAGGTTCCAAATAGAATTTTAGTTTCTTTGCATTGATTTTAACAAGAAAGTTTTTTTCAAGAAAAACTCTTGAGCTTCTAATTCTGGAAATAAAGCTTCCAGTGTTTCACTGGGATGTGGACTTAAGTTTGAACTGATGTCCTGGCTGGAAGTACTCTTTTTTCTCTAATGCTAGCTTGTTTTTGTGCACACTATTCAAGAATAATATAGCTATTCAGTAATAAATATGCATTTCTGAAATGTGGTGGACTAGGTTTCTGTGTGTACGTTTACTGTTTGTTAGCACAGAAGTAGTGGGGTTTTGTGTTCTTTTCATTTCTTTTTAGTGTAAACATGTTATGTCCAGCACACGAAGGTCTGCTTGTCGAATACTCCTGTGTCGGAACAGTTTTGAAAGATGTCCGCAGTGCAGAGAAATCTTTACCCTTGACTGTCAATTATGGGATATTACGAGTGAGGAGTGCACAAAGAATTACCAGACTATTGAAAATTCATGTTCTCAAGGTTTATTATTTTCCCTGAAACTGAGAAGAATTATATTTAAAACTCCTACATCAAAAAGCATATTGAGTGGGCACAATGCTATCAGGTAGCTAACCTTCTCAAGTTTTAGATTATCTGCAGTTTTAAATTATGAAATTTATCAAAAAGACCCCATGAATCAAGGTCTAGTGATGAGATCTTGGCCCTATTACTCAGTTGTTCAAATGATTTACTGAAAATGATATTGAGCTATGCAGTTGACACAGGTAATGATTAGAGGGTCTTTTCTTTCCTTTTTTACCTCATCATATCCAATCCAAATTGCTTTCAACTGCTAGAGAGTTTTGAAAGGTTGCTATGCGCAGTCCTGTTCCTGTGAAAGCAGTTTTTAAGGCAAAGTCATAGGCTTTTAGAACTCCATAAGAGAGGATATTGTACCATGATGCATCTATTTTGTCTTCATATCTGTGCCTTTGCTGGTGACTTTAAGGTGTTATCCATGTATAAAATAAAACCAGTATGATCAAATATTTAAAGGATCCCTTAATATTTCAATATCTCTCTGTAAGAAAACAGTGATTTTTTTTTTTTCTCCTTCTCAGAACAAAAGCCTCAAAAACAAGCTCCTGTCAGGAAACAAGCTTTGTGGTATTCATGCAGAAGAGGTAAGTAAGGTTCCTGTCTATTCTAAGTCTAACATACCCAAAAGAAGCTTATATCGAAGTCTTTTGTACTGCAGTTCTGGTACAGGTTATATATCATGTGTGAACGGTGAGTGTTCCTAAAGCACTTTCATCTCAGCTCATTTCTGTAACTTCACTAGAAGAAACTCCAATGTATTACAAAGCAAGCTGCAAAATCAAGTTTTAGAAAAATAAAAAATTATTATTATTGATTCCTAGAATGTTTCATTACTTCAAGGAATAAAGGGTCACTTCAGGAAACAGAGGGAAAGAAATCTCCCCGCTACTGAAGGGCGAGCTGACAAAGTCAGTTGACAAAACAAAAGACAATTTTTTTTTGCAAATACATAAATATGCAAGTAACTGAACTCATGTGAGAAGTCCCTTTAGCTATTTAACGTTTCATGAAAGAGAATATTACTGTATATCTGGTGTGCTCATTTACATGACTTTAGTCATGGTTTTTTGCATATGTAATTTCTGTGAAAGTCATTGCACCTTGCCAGAATGAAACAGAAGCATAACAGTTTTATTCTTGATTAAAATCTTCATAATTATGGTTGAACGTGTTTTGTTCATTAAGCACTCTACTTTTTAACTTGGAGGTCATAACTTATGAGGTGAAAGTAGTGATTTCTAGTGATATTAGCTAACTGAAGACCTGCAACCACTGTTTCTGAGACATCATCACTGGTCAGAAATAATAGGAGTTTGGGTTTTTTTTGTTTTGCTAGCTTGTCAAAATCTGTGTTATCTTCCTAAATCACCATTGTTGCTTTCAAACATGCCACAGTATATGAATATGAATATATTTTCTTCCCTTGTTTACTGCTAAAAAATTGTCAGTGTGTGCAGCACAGCTTTCTGTTTTCCCCTCTTTTTCAAGTTTGTTTTTCCTAGTTGCATAACATTTTGAATGTTTGGTAATTAACTTGAAGATCTTTTCCCTGATTATGTCTCCTTTAATACTTGCAGCATAAGTGTCTTTAAATCTCAGGGTGAAGCCTAAGATTAAATTCAATTTAGTGTGACATGTATTGCTGTCGGAGAATTTCATAAAACTTAGTATAAGCTAGCTCTCGAGGCAGCAGGTTGTGTATTTTAAACTTTCAGAATCTCAGACTCTGTGAAATATCCTGGCAAATTTGTGGCTTTTAAAGAGGTTAGCGCCATTAGAACAAGCAAAGATGCGACAGGAGCATCCTTTTTGTGTTATTGTTTTGCCAGAGTTAGCTGGTGTCAGCCACAGAAACGCAGTGTTTTTTCTGCTCTTTAATTAAGTACTCTGCTCACCAAGCAAAACAACTGTGTGAAATCAGTATCCTTTTAGTTATTAGATCAAATACCCTTCATGGATAGAATTGCCTACCAGGAGGCTCCTGCTTCGTTCTGCTCTCCAAGACTGCATGCAAACCGGTTTATTGAGCACTGTGATTCCTTGCAGTCCAGTTGCATAGATGGGAGCACGCTTGTGATCCGATACAGTTTATGTGGCTGGGTTTTCTTCTCTGAGAAATCAGAGCCCTGGAGAAAGGAAGGCAGGGAGGTGCAAACCTTGGGCTTCCCAGGACACAAAAAGGGAGTGTGCCAGGGAATTATGCCCAGATGCCGTGGTTTAGAAATTGTTATCAACTAACTGTGTCTAATGATGATCGTATCTGACTGACTGCACTAAAATATTTTGTATGTCCTCTCGTTAGAACTGCAGGAAAACTACAAACCAACCAAATTTGATTACAAAGAATTACAGGTCATATATGTGCTTTTGAGTCACTTCTATCAAGCACTGAATACTTTTAGCTCCACAACTCTTAAATTCATCGCAAGTTTATGATTTAGCAAATGAATGATAATTTCATTGTAACTCTCAGATTCCTCTGTAGCTATTTTGGACATGTTGTATATCACAGAGGCTCTATACTTTCTTAAGCACAACTCCTAGAACAATTAAAGTTGATTAACATTTTCTCATCGGTCTTTAGTTGATGTGGAATATATTCCATACCTCTACTGATTGCATTGTGCAGACCTGAGGACAGGGCTACTGAGCGTAGGCGACTGGCACGTTCTGCTGTGTAGATGAAAGAACAGCAGGTATAGTTACAGAAGTGGACTGAACTGATCTTGGCTATTTGTTTCGAATTTTATAGAATGCAATAACCTATTTGGCCTTACTTTGAAATAGTTAAAGCAAGTTCTAAAATTCTTTATCTTTAGATTCGTTCTTCCTTCTCAAAAGTCTGTCACTGAATGTGACTGAACCAATTCGAAAGTCTTCAAATCTTTCTAAAAGCTCCAGTTTACAAAAGATATGCTACCATTTGTAATATGTTTATGGATGTGCTGTTTCAGTAAATGTGGAATAGACTCCTAATCCATTCCAAGGAGTTCTAAACATTTGGCATTAGTTAAGGTGAGAAAACATGAAATATCAGTTGAGACTGTGGATTTTATTAAAAAGAAATTATTGTTTTGACAGGAATCTTATACAAAGGGTGAAAAAATGCTCCTTGGATATATGGGTGTAGTACAAAAAAAAATCTATTACATTTTGTTTCAGTAAATAAAAGTATGTATAGATCATTACTTAAAATTATTTAAATGATAAATTTAATAGTATTTAAAATAAACATCAGCCTAAGCTTCTATAAATCAACATAACTGTACCTACCTTGGAGGACATGGTCACATGAGGAAGAATTTCTTCCCTCTGAGGGTGACAGAGCACTGGAACAGGCTGCCCAGGGAGGTTGTGGAGTCTCCTGCTCTGGAGATATTCAAGCCCCACCTGGACAAGGTCCTGTGCAGCCTGCTGTAGGTGACCCTGCTTCGGCAGGGGGGTTGGACTGGGTGACCCACAGAGGTCCCTTCCAACCCCCAACATATTGTGATACTGTGATACAAACTGAGAACCTAGTTCATTACCCTGGTCATTACAAAGAAGAACCTATGCAACACTATGGACACTTTTTCCCTCTAAGCAAAAGAAGACTTTTTTACTATGAAGGTGATGCCTTCAGTTCTGTTTCACGAAAAGTATTAATAACACCTCATGTCTGAAATGTGTAAGGCAAATGGTTATTCACAATGTTACTAACTCGTGTATGTTCTTTAGGTGAGTGCCATTTTGCATTTTCATTATACTTTTTCCTGGTTCAGACATACTACTCTGGAAAAGCAACTGACTTCGATTTTGGGGGTTTTTTCTACATTTTAAAGCTGATCTAGTTTCTACTGTTGTCAGAACTTGCTAGGGTATTTTTCTGATCTTAAAAGTAAATATTTAAAACAAAAAACCTTCTGATATTATTATCCTTACTTTCAGTCAAAAAAGATCCAAGCCCAGCTGAAAGAGCTTCGTTATGGAAAAAAGGATTTGATTTTTAAGGTAAGTTTTATTTCACTATAGTTAGCTAAAGTGTTAGAGTTAATATTGGTATTGAAGTAATGTAGCAGTATGATAGCTGCCTATATTACTGTAGTTCTAAGGAATTATTTTCTTCTTGCTGTACCGAAAAGAACTCAAAACACCAAAGACAGATGTAATACCATAATGCAATTTCAGAAATATCATCTATCATGGTTGTTTTTTTTTATTACAAACCACTCTAACAGGGACAGAGCTTTTTATTAAATTGCTTTCTGGGGCAAGGAAGAGAAGATTCAAAGCCTAAAAAGTTGTCTGGTTTCTTTGTTTTTAAATAGACAAAAGCAGTTTAAAGCACTTAGTTTATGAATATCTGTATTTACACACTCACATAAAGCTATGCTCACGTAAACCTGGTGACCGAAACCTGTTGCCCTATTCCATGGATTCTGTAACACATTTTTCATCTTTCTAACCGAACAATAGAATATTTTACAGATGATTCTTGGTTTTTCATTGATTAGCAGTCATCCATGACAATGTCAATTCTTATTAACACTTAAAGCAAATCTTTCTGCTTGTGATAAGCTTGAGCACTGGAATGTTTGTTATGTCCCTGGATTTGAATTCCTGCTATGGGCTGAAACATCTTTACCAAAACTGAAGCTTCTAGAAAAAAAAACTAAATGTCTGTGACTTACACAATCCAAATGAATAGCCTGTCTAGCTAGTGCACTTAAAAAATCAAAAGGGGGAGTGGAGAAGGACAAAACACATAGATATTTTGCTGAAGGGCATCAAGTCCTTGTTAACACAGCGAGAGGTTAATCCCTGTTAACGAGGGAGGAGAGAGATTTAGGTCACCTGACTGGAGGCTGCTAATTGAGTAGTGCTTTTATTCCGGGCACAAAGGATGAAGAGAAATAGTCATCTTCAAAAGGACTAGAGCTAGAATTACTTGCAAAGTAATTCATCTCACTATGAGGTCGAAATTGCCTTCTGGAAGTATTTAACTCTCTCTACTGTCTCGCTATTGTATGCCTAGTACTGTAAAGATGGAATAATGTAGGCCATTTAAAATACACAGTGTGATTTTCTTGTTCTTTTTTTTTTTTTATGCACAGGTTAATTGCAGATTTTTTCACAAACATTTATTTCTGGTCATAAGACCCAAACCAGGGGAACAGACTTACAGATAAAAACAAAGTATATTATACACCTAGGCAGTTAAATGTTAATACCAGCTATCCTTAACAAAAATAACATGTTATTTTTCAAATTCAGTTTAGTTATAACTAAGAGTTTGAACAGAGGAAAAGATTATAACTTCTAATCTTGCCTGGGTGTGAAAGCTTGTTTTCTTCGGCTGAAGCAGAAGAATTGTTCAGTATTACTATCTACTTGTTGTTTTCATTAGGCTAATACGCAGCCATCCTGCAAATGGATCTGATTTATGCTAGGTTGTGTAGTAACGCTTAGCAAGGCAACACTTGCTAAGTGCTGCCCACCTGAAAACAGCTTGCAGAAGAGGAGAAGGAAAACACGAGCGTAAGGAAGTGAATAAATGGGAAAGGCTGTCTGACATACATAAAATGAAATCCACCTTCTCCTGATCCCAGTTCAGTACACTATGACGGTGCTGGTTAAGGTGTTTTGTGGTGGCAGAGAGGGAATTACTTGTGTTTAGTGTGAATGGGAATAGAAGTGGGTCTCATCTGACTGGATATGGACACCTGCACCATAGGCTCCACTTCTAATCCTTGGAGAGTTATTCAGTACTGCTGCGGGAGTCTGGGAAATACATCTTCTCCAGAAGACTATGTCTGCATTTGACCACATGAATTGTGCCTTAAACTCCTTGACCTACATTGAGTAGATATAATTCTTGATTATGAAGGAATACTAGAGCCACCAGCTCAGATATAGGTCCCAAGTTGCGTAGGGTGAGTTCTGCTCTGAATGCAATTGCTTGCAAAATAGGGAAAATATTACTTGTCTTTTGGGGAAATTATGTGCTAATGTAATTTAAAACACTCTGAGAACTTTAGATGGACGATGTTAATGAATTGTGAAATGGATTCCGAAGTCCCACGTACTGAGAAATACACGTGCAAATACCTGAAACATCTCTTGACCATGTGCAATTCTGTATGTGATTGCCTGATTTCCTAATTTGATGTATCCTTTATATGTAGTCCAAAATATTTTTGGTAGGTTTATTTGTCCGTCTCTTGACTAAAGGAAATTTGATTTGTGAAGAAAATGGGACAGAAAACTTACGGTAACCTCCTAAATGATCATTTGAGGTGTGTTTCAGTGTGCTCTTTTGTGCGTGTTTCAGGTCTGAAGACAGACCCAGTGAACAGAGTAGAAGCTGTTTGGTATAGGGTGGAAAGCTTTTTAAATATCTGTCTGATCAGAGAGAAGCTGCTAGGTTTGGGCAAGAACAGGTGGTATTTAATTTCTAGCTGCTTTAATACTAGAAACTAAACAGATTTCATCTTACTGTTGCTGTTGAGGCTGTTTTGTGAAGCTCTAATTCTTTCTGATAAAAGATCAAACCAGTGGATGTATAGTCTTCTGCCAGCACAGAGCAAGAATGGTGTGTGTGATAATCTCTTGGCTGCTAGTTACTGCTGTATTGCGAACTGCTACCCTTTCCCCCTTCCACCACGCTCCCACCCCGTTAAACCTTAGGTTTTCTGTGTGCCTTACTGAGGACTCCAGGGAATTCTGTTTGCTCTGTAGCTCAAGCTTGCAAGCTTCTCATAGTAGTTTACCAGAAAGATGTCAACTTCAGGCTATTGGATTTCTAAAGGGCATAAGGGAATGCTTCAGTCTGTGCCCATTAAACTGTTGCTTTCTGTGGTGGAATTAATTGTGCAGATATATGTGAAGTAGTGGCGGGGGGAGCTGTTTGCTTTTTGTTTTGCAGAATCACCATTGAGAAACTAGTTCTAAAATTTTGGTAACTATCATTGTCAATGACTCTGTACTGACTAGAGCTCTGGGGATTCAGTAGGAGAGGAAGATGAAGGTGGGGGGAAGACAGCTTTCTCCTTTAATACTCTCATGAATTGGTAAATTATATCTACTTTTAATATTCTGTGGCAATAATTTACCAAGTGGTAGCAAATATAAATTGAATTCATAACATTTGGCATTTATTTACTCTTTTTATGTTTTCAAAGTGTTTTGTAATCTAGCTAATTAATTGTTGTGTATGTATATTTGTATTTTTCTATCTCTGAGTGATATAATGCCATATGACAGATAAGCAGTTACAGGAATTAAGCAGTGAGCTCAGGGCTATAGAAGTTGTCAGCATCTCTACTGAGATTAGAATTAGAGCTCCTCTGTGTTTCTCAGAGTCCAGTCCCTTAAACCATGCGGTGTAGCATCCTTAAAGAGTTGTCAAAAGCTGAAATTTGCTTTATGTTATAATGAGAAAAATAAGGAATGATTAATAATAATTTTCACACAGGCTTCTTCATTTTAGAACTGCCTTTGTGAGTAGATGCTTACTAGTTCTGAAGGAGTCTGCTCTCAATTGCAATAATTGAATTATGGTCCTAAAACCCTGATTCAGTGAAGTACTCAAGTTTAAATGCTCTGCTAAATTGAGGTCCATGTTTGTTTCAGGCATTCGTAACGAATTCTTTTGAAGTTACCTCTCCTTCATTTACTGTCTTCCCATCACTGGTTATACTGTCCCAGAAGTCACATGTTTTACTAAATTAGAAAAGAATTAAAAAGAATTTGTTTTTTTGTTCATTACATGCAAACGTGTGTATGATAAGAATATAAGAAGAAGAAAAATAAATCTAGCAGTGACTTTCAGTATTGGTTTATACAAGTATCTTGTATTTCTGAAAGCGTGTTTTTAAATGCACAAGGTGAGGATGGTTTACTGTTATGGCTTGTGTATATCTTTGTTTACTTTTTTGTGATGAACTTCTAAGGATTCTGCTTCAGAGTTTCAGACACATGAATTTCATTTACTGCTTTAACTATTTTTCCTTTTGTCATTTAATTCTGAGGCAAAATATATTGATAGAGAAATCTAAAACAACAAAAAAAGAGTTCAAATGTGAGCAACAGCTACCTGTGTCCAGCCTACTAAAGTACTTAATCTTTGCTCCATAGCAGAATTCACATTTAAATAAGCAACTAAGTAGCATGTGCCTTACAACCAGTTAGGTAATTGCTAAGAAGTATTCTGTACATGGTCTTACCGTGAGTGAGATGGTGTATAATTGTGCACCTTCCTCTGAAGAGCAAACCACACTTGCTCCTCTTGGGTACACAGAGGTGCTGGTTCCTGCAGCATGATTGTCAAGGTGGGTGTTTACAGGAGAGGTGCCCGAGGACTGGAGAAAGGCCAATGTCACTCCAATCTTCAAAAAGGGCAAGAAGGAGGACCCAGGGAACTACAGGCCGGTCAGCCTCACCTCCATCCCGGGAAAGGTGATGGAGCAGCTTATCCTGGAGGCCATCATCAAGCAAGTGGAAGAAAAGAAGGTTATCAGGAGTAGTCAGCATGGATTCACCAAGGGGAAATCATGCCTGACCAATCTGATAGCTTTCTACGATGACATGACTGGCTGGGTAGACGAAGGGAGAGCTGTGGATGTTATCTACCTTGACTTCAGCAAGGCTTTCGACACAGTCTCCCATGATATCCTCCTGGGGAAGCTGAGGAAGTGTGGGCTGGATGAGTGGTCGGTGAAGTGGATAGAGAACTGGCTGAATGGCAGAACTCAGAGGGTTGTCATCAGCGGCGCTGAGTCTAGTTGGAGGCTGGTGACAAGTGGTGTCCCTCAGGGGTCAGTACTGGGCCCAGTCTTGTTTAACTTCTTCATCAACGACCTGGATGAAGAGTTAGAATGTACCCTCAGCAAGTTTGCTGACGACACCAAACTGGGAGGTGTGGTAGATACACCAGAAGGCTGTGCTGCCATTCAGCGTGACCTGGATAGGCTGGAAAGCTGGGCAGAGAGGAACCTGAAGAGGTTCAACAA